ATTTATAAAGGAAAGGTGTGCAGTAACATGCGTACGCACTGTTTTATGAATCTGAATTTTTTTGGCATACGCCATTTCCGCCTTTTGGCCGTACGTTCACTTTTAGTATGGTTTCCACGCAGTCCTTTATAAATGAGACCCCAGGTCCTGCTCAATGAGTTAGACTCACCTGAGGCCCCTCCTCCCCTGGCAGAAACAGGTACGCTCCACTCTTGTCTTGGTGTGCTGAGCTTCTGGTTCCGTACCACAGGAACTGGACCTGGACCTGATGAACTGCACCGGACTGGAGGCTGATTTTCTAAACATCAAAACCATCTTCTGTCAACATGTGAGTGATTCAAACTGAACTTTATCTGATCAAACACTGTTTTTAAAAGAGATGCTTTTATTCTGAAGGGTCAGACCTGCAGCAGGCCGCTGGCAGGTGAGCTCCATATTTGAAAATGTTTGTTGCTCAGAGACAGARGGGTGCTGACATCACTTCCTTCCAGAGCTGACACCTGGAAGTGGTCGGACTGTACGCTCAGCGAGTTGCCATGGCGATAGACGGTGTAGCGGGCCCGGGGGGTGGAGCCAGGAGGGGCTTTGGTCACATGGTACACAACCAGGGACAGAGGAGGAAGTTCAGCGATGAAGGACAGCTTGAAGAAACAAACAGGTGATTAAAAAACTCTCTGAGGACCAAACAAACAGTTCATGACCCTCTCCTCACCTGGAAGGTGTCTGCAGACACCCGGCTAGGCTCCGCCCACACTGCAGAGATCTGAGCGGTCACTGGCTGACCGCTTCCTGCATCAACAACCTGCGCGTCTGCAGAATCGACGACAACACTCACGACGGAGGTACGGAGCTGCTCCGTGGGGTTGAAGACGACCACAGACCTGCCACCAAGAACCAATGTTCAGTCCACGTCAGCCAGYTCTAAARGCATCATTTAGGCCCCGCCCCTTCACCTGGGCTCATCACTGAGCACGAGCGTCGTCTTCTGAGGCAGAGCATCCTGCGCTGACATCACTTCCTCCTAAAAAACACCATGACAGAATGAGTGTGACAAGAAAAACCCTCCACAGGTGGGTCCAGGTGAGTCCAGGTGAGTCCAGGTGAAACAGCTGTCCTCAGGTTAGGCCACACTGAACAGTATTTTAAACCTAATCCTTTCACATTAAAAGTCATGAGGTCAAAGGTCACCATGTGTAGGAAGGGTTTGGATTGGTCGTGGTGGTACTGGCTCTTGTCCAACAGGAGCAGCCAGTGGGCGGAGCTCTGCAGCACCTTGTGCAGGTTCAGCAGGGCCTGAAACAACCTGGAAAATAAACCACGAGTCAGAAATGAACAGTGTGGTAAAACGCCACGACTCCACAGCAACAGCACCTCCTAACAGCAGGCTAACAACATGCTAACATCATGCTAACAACATGCTAACAGCAGGCTAACAACGTGCTAACAAGGCAATATCAACAGGCTAAATAAATGAGGTGATGAGGCTGTTAGGTGATAGCTCTAAGTGAATGGCTGGGATGAGATGCTAATGCTAACGGCTCACAGATGTTACCTCTTAGCATTTTCTGCGGTGGCAGCATCCTTAAACAGAGAGCATGGGAGGAAAATGAGAAAACAGGCTAATGCTAAAGAGGCTACACAGGTCCTGCAATTATATAAACAACTTTAAAGAATAAATACATAAATGTAATCAAACTTCTCCACTGTATAACATTAACATGCTAACATTCATCTCAACAGCATGGTTAAATAATAAAAATCTGAAAAACTGAGTTTATAACATTTAAAAGTCCAAAACACCTTTAAACTGACAGACTTCAATGTTTCATTGTGAGTTCAGACGGCAGAGCACTGTGGATATTATGCTAACACACTGCAGTGGATATTATGCTAACACACTGCAGTGGATATTATGCTAACACACTGCAGTGGATATTATGCTAACACACTGCAGTGGATATTATGCTAACACACTGCAGTGGATATTATGCTAACAT